ACCCAAGGTATGATATTAAAGCTGATGCCATGTTGCCTCCCGACAGCAGTTCTGGACAACAAAACTGCCGTGGTTTGCTTTTTATAACAATAGACCTTGAAGTATTACAGGCTTTTAGTCTTCTTAAATGTAGCATTAGGTCATCACTTCCATTTGTAACTTGAGCTGCATAAGAAAACCCTGGGGTAAATGAGAAATACTGAATTATTTCAGGCTGCTGCTTTTGAGAAAGTAACTATCTTTGGGCTATACATAGCATTTGCACAGCATGTTTAGCAATTTAGGGATTGGCAAATCCTGACTCATCAAGCCACTGGATGCAGTTAGGAGAAAACAAAGATCTGTTTACAAACTCAGACATCTCTACCAAAAGCTGATTTTGAAAAGTAGTGAAAATAACTTGTGCTGTGTTCATTGAAATGGAAAAGATTCTTCTTCTGTTATTATTGTGATTTTTTTCTGTGAGGGCTTTTAAAAATTCTGATTTAGGCCATTTTTCAGTCATGGGAGTTTTGAGGAAACCAAACCAATGTGATAGCTATATGCTTGATGACACTGCCTAGATGAAGTGATATTACAATTAGCTGATTAATCTACATTTATTCATCAGTTTCCAATATCCTAGGCTCTCCTAGGAAACTCAAAGAACCAAATGCAACACACACGCATTGATTTAACAGCTTATTAAAATAAATGACATAGCAGATTGGGTTGGAGAGGAAAGAGATAAAAAAGAAGCAGATATGGAAGCTGAAGCACTGGGAGGTCCAAAAGAAGTAAAGTGGTTAAATTGCTGCCTTTCTGCCCATCATCCTGGAGCAAAAAATCTCTCAGCAAACTAAAGCTCCAAGTCAGGCAAACTTGCCTATCTCAAAAAGGGCTCTTGAGAGGCACAGAGGCCAAGCAGGTGCATAGTGTTCCTATTATCAAGTGATTTTCTCAGATTCTACAGATGTACAGAGCTCAGATTTACAATTTTAAATATTCTAAATATTCTAAATATTCCCAATTCCAAATATAAGCAGTGAATCAGAAGGGGCTGCAGGGCATGGCAGTAGCAGTCCTTGGGCGTCACTGAGAGCTATGAAGGTAGTAAAGGAATCCAAGTAATTAGAATACCTGGAAGAGAAGGAGAACAAGCCATAGAAAAAATAGCCAGGTGCACTACCTGTCTCAGAAAAGGAATTTAAAATAAAAATAGGAAGAATTTTGGAGCAGCACATCAGTAGTGATTAACCATTAATGGGCCCGGACAGGGGAGCCCGAAGGGTTGGAGACAAAAACGATGGGTGGACCAGACAGCTGCAAATACGGCCCTGGCAGAGTGGTCTGGACATAGGAGCTGGCCGAGGCTCCCCAGGGTGGCAGCAATTCACATTCTTATTTACAATGAGACTCTTAAATAATACCAAGAACAGGAGGAAGTAGACCTGGGCTTGCTGCGTGTACAGGCATGAGTCCTCAAGATGCTTAGGGACTCAGAGCTACCCCTTTCTGCAAAACCAGTCTAAGAAAAAAATACATGAAATGAAACAAAACAAAATAAAAATAAAACCTCTTTAACAAAATAAAACAGAAATAAAGCTTCTTTTTCTTTTTTTAAGCAGGAAAGGTAATGCCTAAGAAGCTGACGTGAACAAAAGTTATATGCTTAAATACAAGATCTGACTACTTAAATTCATTATGTTATAAGCAAACATATCTTAAGGATAAAATAATCAAAATATTTCCATCTAAAAAAAGCAAACACAATTTTTAGTCATATGATATGAAAATGTTCCATTCTGTGTAACTCCTACTGCCTGTCTTCAAAAAATTCCCTTGTTCTGAAGTCAGTTCAGTGGCTATTAGGCCTAGTCACTGGTGTAAATTCCATCTTGTTTATGAAAATATTTAGAACAAGGCATTGATTGTCCAGGGTTTAAGAAAAAAAGTTAAAACCTATAAAATGTCGGCATCACTACTATTTGGAGCATGAGGATGACATGCATATAAATCATAGTTTATTGGCACGGTCTTTCATATACAGAATGAAAGCTTTGCTGAAAATGGAATAAAGCAATGTACTCTGATTTCCCCTTTTTTATATATTTGTTTTTAATGTCACCTGAATTGGAAAAGAATCAGAATCAAATCTTAGGCTTATTTTACACTGGGATTTAGAGGCACAACAAGTCCTTTTTACTTATTTTAACTAATGCAGACAGGAGAATTACTAACAAAATTGGCATATTTTGGGCAGAAATTAGGCTGCTTGCAAAGGCTGTCAGTGCAAAGCTTGGGAGAAGATGTGATTTGTGCAACAAGTCCATCCATCCATCTCAGTCCATGCCATCTCAGTTACCTCTGAGTCATCTCAGATACTAACTCTAGTTAGATAACTCTAGTTAGTATCTGAGATAGGAATCTGTTAGTAACAGATAGGAATCTGTTGCTCCATTTTGTAGGAAAAATCCTACATTACCATTTAGGAGAGGTAGCAGTTGGCCAAGAGGTTTCACAGAAGGATTCCTTCCCTTCCTACACACCATGAGCTGGGGGATTTGCCACTGACAGATTTGCCTTTTGAAAACAAGGACACTTCTGACAACATCTTAGCAAACCTTGACTCCCAGGACCTCTAACAAGAACATGGAGAGCAACTGCCTGCTAGGACTTGGTCAAGCATGGGAAGCCACCCTTGTGGCACATACACCGCTTTGCTTCATGAGCGACTGGCGAAAAGCAAGAAACTTCTCTGCTGTTTCAGCCCAGATGAGATATCATCTGCCCCAGGTCTGCCTTTCTAACTGGACTCGGCAATGTTTTTTGCCATTTCCAAAAGAGCAGCCCTATGGGAAATAAGTGTTTGGGTCTTACTGTGGCAAGTGGTGGAGTGCCAAATTCTCTTGGGTTTTATAAGTAGTTCAGTTGCAGCAGCAGGAAAATTTTGAAGGTGTTGGTCAGATTCTTATTCCAAGTACATTTGTATTTCGTTTAAAATGTTTTACTTCTGTTAGGACATGTAGGAAAGTTGCAGTGTACCACTCACAGGATATCCCTACTCTACAGTGAAATAAATCAACTGCATAAACCATATAGGACCATTCCAGTTTTGAAAGTGGACCACTCCAAACTTGCGTTGCTCCAATTTTAGCTAAGTTGCACCAGAGTAAAACAAGAAAAACAGTAGTGAATCTACCCAAGAATCCTCCTGGATAATTCTTTTCTTTTTCTTTTCCAGTAGCAAAGTTATTGGCAGCCATTGAGGCTCAATGTTGTGATTTTCCTCCAAGTGCTGCACTGAAGATCAAATGCTATAGCAATCCAAGCATATTCTGTTAAGTCATTCTGCTGGACTGCAGAGCCTGTGGGTGGAATTTTCCCAAGGGCAAAATACAACAATGTCACAAGTCCAACTTCTACTACTTAGAATTTTAGTAACAGCCATAAATTCGAGGTTAGCACCTGATTCTTTAGAAACGCTAAGCATTTTAAGTAATCAGCCCTTAGGTCACCATCCCTTCTATGCATACATTGTGTAGACTGTGTGTAGTGAAGTGCTTTGTAAATGGACCTGACAATTTTCAAAAAAAGATGCCTAAAATCAGATTTGTAAATTCACATTTAAAATTTTATGATTATTTTTTCAATGTTTTTAAACTTCTGAAAATTGCAGCTGCTAGGCCTTTGAAAATATCAAAGCAATTTATGAAGATCTTTAATCTGGATTAGGGGCTGCCCTAAAACCATTTTCTAGAGGTGCTCATTATAGATGTTATGACTAATCTTGTGAAGGCTGGAGCAGACAACATCTGGTAGCCCAGATATTTCTTATTAGATCCTAGTTCTCTGGAGCTAATAGGGGAGATGATTAAGATAATATAAACATGGCTAACCTGCTCTCTAGTTAGTCAGTTTTAGAAACTTTACCCATAGATTAATATAGGACATTCTCACCTAAAACACACTGTATGCATTCATTTTATGAAGTGGTCTGTCACTGATCGGATATAATAGTTTTTTTTTGTGATCCTGACTGTACTAAATTACTTCATATTCTAAAAAAAAAAAGTAGAAGTTCATAAAAATATGAAGAAAAGCTGTCAAAATCATAGCCATTTTAGACAGCTTGCCAACCTATGTAAGTTAAAGCAATGTATACAATGTAGGGCCACTTTTTCTACACATGTAGCATGTAAGATTCATGTTCAGTCATGTCCTAGCCCAAGGACTCTTCATTTAAATTAGATAATGAATTAGTTGCACAATTCTGCTTGTGGTTCTCTTTTCTAGTGTTCGAGAATATTTTTGAGCTAGAAAAATCTGTTTATAAGAAGGAAAATCTGCATGCTAATGACCGTTGCAGGACTGGGTCTCAGAAAGATGGACAACCCCATGATTTTAAAAAAAAATGCAGCAGAAATGGGATGAGAAGGAAGGCAAAGTTATCAGGGCAAGGAATAGTGTATGTAGAGTATATTGTGCAACAGAAAATGTGTAATTCACTCAAATTGTCATCTGTTGGCAACTGGATCTCTAAAAATGATAGTGTGTTAGTATTGGTTTTGTTTTTTGGTGCCCAATTTAAACCATTTCAAAAGATTTTTTTTTCAAATAGCCTGTTTGCTTTACCTGATCTATCTCTGTCCTGAATACTTCTAAAAAGGGAAACAAGTGAATCTTTATCAAAGCTTCATTAAGCTTTCACCCCGACTCCTTTCTTAAAGAATGCAAGCTTGGTGATTAAAAAAAAAAGTGCCAACTTCTATTTTTTTTTTTTTTTTCCATGCTGGGGACTATTTTCTTCATCTTACTTCACAAAAGACTCTGTACTCTGGCTTTGAATATTTCTGCTGTCTTCGGAAAGATCAGTCTGATGAAATCTGAGATAAAGAATTTGAATGAAAGCAGGCTTTTCTACAGCTGGCATAACGATCTGGAGGATTTCAGCTCCAAAGATCATTGCTCTGTGCTTTGTATTGGCATACGGACATTAACAACTTCTATATTGTTTTCAGGTTCTGGACGACAGCTGAGACCAGCAGAGCCTTCTGGAGATGCTGATGCTGATGCAGAAGATGATGATTCTGTAAGTTTGAGGGTTTTTTGTTTCTTTGTTTTTTGGTTTGGAGTTTTTTTGGGGGAGGGGGTATAATAACCTTGTAAAAGTTTGACCTCTAGTATTTTATTTATATTGGGTTTTGCTGGTGATTTCTTTTCATCAAAAGTGTAACTGTTAGTATTTCTGTGTGAGAATATTCCTGCCAAAACAATGCTGGTCTTTATGATAACTTTCCAACAGAAGTTCTATACCAAGACCTAGTAACCTCTTTCTTACATAGCTGTAAACTAAAACAGCGTTCTTTTAAATGTTTAGCTGCTTTACCTTGCCCATGGTCTGACTCCAGAAGGAAGGATGCTGAATTTTTATCAGCAGAAAATCCTCTGGGACTCTTCACTCTTCCATGGTTTGCCTGATTAGAGAGGACAGTACAGTGTAAAGCTACAGGATGCAGGGTTTAGCAGCATTAAAGTTATAAGTTATTCTGCCTCAACTATTAATAATGAAAGATTTGTATACAGAATGAGAAAGTAAGTAGAAAAAAAATCTCCTAAAAACTGGGTCACTTTTTAATGGTAACTCTTCCTTTCCTACCACTCATTTCTTTCCTGTAGGTTAATGAAGTGGCAGTAGAAGATATCCGGCCAAGACCACAAGGTTCCTCTCCAGTTTATGAATATCTTGTAGAAGAAGACTATTTAAAGGCAAGACACTGAGGTTCTATGAATGGATGGGTTTACTGAGTTGATTTAAGAGGTTTTAGCTCCTATAAGTAGCAATAAGTAGTATAAGTTGGAAAGGTGATGGAGCAGCTCATCCTAGAGACCGTATCTAGGCCGATAAAGAAAAAGAAGGTGATCAGGAGTAGTAGGATGAGAATTTGACCAACCTGATATTCTACCATGGGATGACTGGATGAGGGGGAGCCGTGGGTGTGTTCTACCTTGACTTCAGAAAGGCTTTTGACGCTGCCTCCCATAACATTCTCATAGGGAAGCTCAGGAAGTGTGAGTTAGATGAATAGACAGTGAGGTGGATTGAGAACTGGCTGGATGGCATTGCCATGTCTACTTGGGGGCCAATGGTCAGTGGTGTCTTACAGGGGTCAGTATTGGGCCCAGTGCTCTTCAACTTAACCATCAATGACTTGGATGAAGGGAGTGCACCTTGAGCAAGATTGCAGATGATAGCAAACTGGGTGGAGTGGGCAACACCCCAGAGGGCTATGCTGCCATTCAGAGGGACCTAGACAGGTGGAGAGTTGGACAGAGAGGAACTTCATGAAGTTCAACAAAGACAAGTGCAGGGTCCTGCCCCTGGGGAGGAATAACCCCAGACACCAGTAAAGATTAGGGAAACCAGCTCGGTCCAGAGGGATTTGGGAGTTCTGGTTGACAAGTTAACCATGAGGTAGCAATGCGCTCTTGTGGCTAAGGCCAATGGGATCCTGGCCTGCATTAGGACGAGTGTTGCCAGCAGGTCGAGGGAGGTGATCCTGCTACTCTGGAGTATTGGGTGCAGTTCTGGGCTCCTCAATACAAGAGGGGCATGGAACTTCTAGAGAGGATCCAGTGCAGAGTAATGAAGATGATTAAGAGACTCAAATATCTATCTTACGAGGAAAAACTAAGTGAGCTAGGCCTGTTTAGCCTAGAGAAGAGAAGACTGAGAGGAGATCTTATCAATATGTATAAATATCTCAGAGGAGAATGTAAAGAGGATGGTGCCAAACTCTTCTCAGTGGTGGCCAATGATAGAACAAGAGGTAATGGGTACAAATTGAAACGCAGGAATGTTGGAATTACCTATATCTCTTTGTTACTCAAAGGTAAAAACTTAATTAGTACAGTTATATTAAGAAAGATAAGTAGTTGTTTGAAATGCATGCTTAAGTCTGATAAAAGAAGGCTGAGAGCAGATTTGATTAACATGTTCAAGTACCTGAGGGGTGATTGCAGGGAGGATGGGGCCAGCCTCTTCTCCATGTGTTCTGAATGGGCTCAGGATTCGGCAATAATCACGCCAGAACGAGGTGACTACATCAAGCATTTATTCAGTTGAAAGCACATAAAGTAAGCCAAGTATGGATAACTACTCACGAGGTGATACCTGCCGATCTGGGCCCGAACATCCTCTCAAGCTGGCAGATCAGAGAGAGAGAGAGTTGCTGACCAGCTCTCGCAGAGACAGCGTAGGCCTCAGAGTTAGGAGTTTCTTTTTTCTCCTGCTCTCTCCACAATTTATGCCCGGTGCATCCTGGCATGTAGGGTCAGTCTGACCCGGAAGGCAGGCCAGCGAGCGGACAAACTTCGCCTCTAGTTGCGCAACTCTCCCGCCTTGGGTGCGCAGGCGCGCATACCAGTCGGGGGTCCCAGCCCTCAATTCGGGGGTCCTGCCTTCCTCCTCTTCTTCCTCATCTCCAGATGTTTGGCTTCCAAAGCTAGTTTGGGGGATGTCTGCGGTTAAGTTGGCTACAAGCCCAGCCAAGTGGCTGGCTTCAACAGGTTTCCGGTGGGGGGCTTTCTGTGAACCAGGCTGAGCAGCTGCATCCGTGGTCCTTATCGCTCAGCCTAGGCAGGCAAACATCTTTTTCCTCAGGGTTTGGCTTCTGCTTCCATTGGGAGATTGATTCTACAGATCACAGAAATTTTCATCTCCAATACACCATGGTGGCGGTGACAGGACAAGGGGTAACAGGTGTAAGTTGAAACACAGGCAGTTCCACCTCCATATGAGGAAGAACTTCTTTCCTGTGAGGGTGACAGAGGCCTGGAACAGGCTGCCCAGAGAGGCTGTGGAGGCTCGTCCTCTGGAGATCTTCCAGCCCTGCCTGGATGCCACCCTGTGCCACCTACACCTATGTAGGTGTCCCTGCTGGAGCAGGGGGGTTGGGGGATCTCTAGAGGCTCCTTCCAACCTTAAGCATTCTGTGTGGATAAATAAATAAATAAATGGATAACACATGTTATTCACAAAGATGAAAGCATGAGAAATGTCCATAGAATCATAGAATGCTTAAGGTTGGAAGGGACCTCTAGAGGTCATCTAGTCCAACCCCACTGCACACGCAGGGTCACCTAGAGCATGTGGCACAGGACTGCATCCAAGTGGGTTTTG